ATCAATCACGAGGATTAGTCATAGTCGAAAATATTACGTAACAAATCAAAATAGAGATCATAACAACAGATAACACGAATAAACGTTTAGCGTCAGTGAGTGCCATCTACTGACGCTAACATATATGACCTGTGAATAACTGAATAATCAGCTGATTGTGTTTTTCGAACTGTTTTGATCATATTAGAAATGATCGTATATTGCTAGTGGACCCATCTTTTGCATACTTCTATAAGTTCCCTATGAAGAGATATTTCTCATGAGGACAGTAATTGCTATGTTGATTGATTGGTTTAATAACAGGTTATGTAAAGGACAATTTAACACCATTGTCATCCGCCCAGAAAATCGTTCTGGTAGTAGTGATGCAAGAATCACCATTTTCTATGAATAATGCGCATCAATTCTGATTCGCTAAGAATCGGGAAAAATTTCTGCGTCATCGGATAAGATTGAATATCGTTTCATGAAATAGTTCGATAGTGAAAAAAAAGTAAAAATCTCAACTAGTTTTTGAAAATTTTCTTTTCGTTAGTTTATCCTGTTATAAACATGGAACAACTGAATTTAAGTACAAACATATGCACTCATGAGATTAATAAATTAGACAGCGAACGGTGCGTACGATTGTCTATTCAATAAAGAAAATAAAACTATCAGGCTTTAGTTTTTAGTAACACTTTTATTGATATCTTGATATTGAATGAAGCTTTCAAAGATGATACGTAACTGACTATATTGCATACATTTAGTGAAATGAAAAAAAAACCGTCAAATTCCTTTCATTATTTTCTTTCTAGGAAATCTCTTTAACAGACAAAAAATGGTTTCAATATAAAGAAAATATCGATCCGTTTTAAAGAACTATTATTGGAACAGTTCAATCGACTACAAAATACGAGTGGCAGCTTAACTTTAAAACACTAAAAAAGTATTATATTTTAAAGTAAAAACACTTTAAACTTTAAACTTTAATTAAAGTAGAACACTAAAATTTAATACTTTAATATAAAAATTAAAATGCTTTAAGTGTAATTTTAAAGTTTAAAGTTGCAGTTTAACCAACAGAGAATTGATCGCGAAGTGCTAAAAATTAGTTGTCACTTTAACTCTGATTTTTTAAAGTTAAAGTGTTTTACTTTAATAAAAGTTTAAAGCGTTTTACTTTAATTTCAACTTTTAAAGTAAAGTTAAAGTGCCACCCCTACTGCAAAACATGTTCAACGAAATCCAAAGTCACATAAATGCCCTGAAAAGCACAAGCTGATTATATTATGACGGCTTCTTAGTCACAGTAATCATTGTTCATTTTCAACAGTCTAATTATCTATGAATTGCTAAGTTTTCACAATTGTCAACTAAACTTTCAACCGGTTAGATTGTATTACACTCGAGATCGATAAATTTTTCAATGTATATCGATGATGATTTTTTTTGTTTGAATTCAAATTATTCATATTTGTTCTCATATCCATGATGATTATAGTAATTAAGTGATGAAGCTATTCAATACATAACATCGAAGTCATTTATTGTAGTGCTAATGCTAAAGAATTCAATGACAGTTTTCTATCTTCGACTACCTATTCGATAGTATCTTCACTGAAGTATGAAATATAATATTCGTTGAGAATTTCAAGTCGTATGTTCGGACCAATGCCAAATAATACTTTTATAAAAATATACCAGATTACGAACCTGTTTTTAAACATCATTTTATGCGGTAAATTAGAAGATACTTGGTATCCGTTTTTTTTGCATTTGTTCCGTGGTATAATAATAAATAAATCTCTTCAACATTATAAACATCCAGTATTTTCTTTTAATCAAAATCGACTTCTCATTCAACAGAACAGTTTTTATTTCATTCGCAAATTTATTGGGCGATATAGTAATACTATCTATTGAATAATATTTATTTTGGAAATGGCAGCAAAGAAAAATTTCCTTAATAAAATCTAACACTTCTAAAATTGTTTCATTTTCTTTCAATAAAAGTCTGCGCATTAGCTTATTTCCTTTATGTACAATATTTAGAATTATCTAGAATTAGCTCTTGTAAAATCTGTGTGCCTCGATATTTCTTTTTCAAATATTATTTCTATTTGTAATATTATATAGTCACATAATATCATGATTACTTACGAAAGAAAAAAAATGATCAGCTGTACTTTTTATATTAAACCAAAGTTGCAAGAAAACCTAGAAAATGTCTATAGATAAATTACTGTTTTAATGTCAATTAACAACATTATTCATTGTATATTTTATGATATATTGAAAATTTCGATTAGTAAAATTGCAGATAAAAAGATATTCTGTTTACTTTCATCTTGCGTCTATCACTGTTAATGTTATTATTGTTGTTAGAGTAACTCAATTTTTTTATTCTCACTTTGTCTTTTACTTTTACCATTTTTTTCTCTTCTACCTCTTTTTCTTCTACTAATCATTAGAAAGAATACCGTACATCAAACAGAGAAAAGAAAAAGAACGGAGTTCGAGTTTACATCATCATCTTTTTTTTCTTCTTTTATTTAACTACCGACAGATGGTTGTGCCTGCACATTGTACTCTTGACATCTATTCTTTTATACTCTCATGGGTATTTCCTAAAGGTGCATTGAGTGTGTATGTGATAAGAAACCATGTGTATATGTATGCCTATTTTGTCTAATTGGAGATCCTTGAAGGTAAGACGCGGTACCATACGTGCATATATGCATAATAAAACGAAGCCAATGTAATGCTGGCATGCATTCTGTGGTTGCTATTTGCCTACCAACAGAAGTAGCACAAAAAAGATTTTTCTTCTTCAGTCACTTACCATCATTGCCATTTGATATTTACTCACGTCCTTTATTATTGTATTTTTTTTTATTTATTGTGAAGTTTCAAGTGATAATCATATTAAAACAATGATGACTTCTGAATTACTCAGCAAACAAGCAAAGATAAATTGTAAGTGAATTATATGAGCAAGAGACAAAGACATCAAATTTTTTTACCGTGTTTTCCCTATCATAAATATTTAACCAGATCTTTTTCATCTCTCATTTCGGTGGAAAATACGAATGTTCACAGAAGGCAAAATTTTATATGAATTATAAAAAGATTAAATATTTATTTTTATAGCCGAAGTACCCCATGGATATTAGAATAAAAGCTATTAAATATATCTTGAGTATTTATTACAATCAAACTGTTCTATTACTTGTTCTGCACAATTAATTCTAACAGTCGCCTGTGAAATATGTTTTTTTTCTTAAAATAAATATTCATGGTCTAAAAAGAGTAAAATATATTATCCAGAAATAAAGATGCATAGAAACGATGACTGCATCGCATGTCGAAACCTTTTTTGCTTCTATTATTTTTATTATTATGGAAAACCACTAAGTGTGTTTCTTTCTCTCATCGATATATTTCTATTTGACATATAGCAAGTATTAGTCAGATTTTATTTTCTTTGACGATATTTTCTTTATGAATAATAGAACCGTCTTTTATTTTAGCATAAATGTTTATATAGAAAGAATTATTCAACAATCTATTTCAATTTTTATTGACGCCATTCGGACAGTTTTAAACTAACAATCAGAGTTTCGATTTCTGCTTTTCAGAGATTAAAATTCAAACTCAGTGTAAAATTGAAAAAAATAGATCGTGCAATGAAGTGTACTCTAAGTATGTTGACAAACATTTGATTGCAATTTTGAATTTAATCTATGAAAAGTCGAGGAAAAGTTTTAAAGTTCTAATCTTAGCACAATGATTTTTGTGACTAGATGTATAGCATATAAAAATTATGATTATTTTGTCATTGTAGATAGCCCACTGGTGAATATGTCTAGTAGTCATAATAGCACGCCACGTTCAACACATCATCATCATGAATCAAAATCTTTACATCATCCATTGTCTCTATCAAACAGCCATTCGATTCCTGTTACTCGTTCGACCATTGACGATTTTCGTGAAATAATACGCGAACAATCATTTATTATTTCGAATAATTCATCATCAGATTCCGATCATTTTGATGTACCCGTAAAAAAATATCCTCCACTACCCGATATTGCAGTGCCTAGTCCTAGTACAACAAGTAACACTTTTTTTCGTACAGAAGCTATTCTAACAATACCAAAACAAAGTCAACCGAAAAAGCAAATGTTTTATCATTTTGCGCCAACACAACGAGGACATTTACCATCACTTAATAAACGTCATATTTTACCAATGATGGCCAATGTTATGGATCTTGACGAAGATTTACCTCAATGTCATACAACTATAGCACATAGAGCAGCAACATATACATCGCCGGGTGATCGTGTTATATCACCAATAAAACGGCCATCGGCTCCATCACCTCCAACAAGTGCACAAATAAAACGACCAGGTCAAAATGCATTTGCCTACGGAGATGAAGACCAAGACGAGGAAGACGAAGAAGACGAAGAAAATTGTTCGATAATAGATGATGAAGATAGTCAATTGTTTAATGAACGTTTCTATCGTTATAATGGCCAACCAATTACAATGATCAATCATCGTATTGATCATTATGGTAATTCTAATCGTTATATGAATATGAATGATAGACAAAATACAATTATAATCAATGATGGTCATGATGGAGCTGCTCATCCGCTTGATTCAGTTGAATTTGAACCATGAACACGAAAATTGATATTGTAATACGTATATATATATATATATATATACGTTGCATAAGTACACATGAAACATTTTGTTCTTGTTATTTAAAAATTAAAAAGAAAGAAAAAAGCAGATTTTTGTTTGTTTGTTTGTTTTTCAATTTTATGTTAGATGCGACTTTTTTTTCTCATTGCATAGAAGAAAATACATAATATATTGATAAATATAGTGTACTGAAATTTTATTTTAATTCAAAAGAGTCTCATTACTATTCATTCGCAAGTAAGCGATTGATTTCAATCAAAATTAAGAAATCAATTTTTTGTTAGATAACCAAGGAGTTAATTTCAGTGGCTGTTTCTAGATAAAGAGGCAAAGTCATTGGGAAAAGGCAATATACGATTTTGACTTTTTGAATGGCAGTTGTACATTGTCACCGAGAGAAAGGCTTAAAATCTAAGATTCTTCAGGGTCACTCAGAAGATTTGTCAAAGTTGTTCTCCGACGCAGTAACATTTTTCGCATACAATATCTTCACGCTTGACAAAAGATTTCAGTATTTCGTTATGATGAGTTGCTATTAGAGGTTTAGCTGTTCTCCCTTCTTGTTTATTCGAAATCGAAAAACTACAACAAAAAACAAACAACATGTTGTATCGTGTTGTATACACACATATATATATATGTCGTGCCGAAGTTACACTCTTTGCCGAAGTTATAACTTCGACAAAATTTTTGCCGAAGTTACAACTTCGACGGACACTATTGTCGAAGTTATAACTTCGACGATTATCTTTGCCGAAGTTATAACTTCGGCAATACAACTTGCCGAAGTTAAACTTCGACAAGCAAATTTTGTCGAAGTTACTGTGAATGAGTTGATAAACATTAAACATTAAAAAATCAATGTAATTTTTTCGATATCAATATTAATAACTATTTTTTAATTTAATAGAGATAGAAAGAAATCTATTGAATTTTTTTTTCACAAAATATACAAGACATTTTTGAATAATAAAATATGTATTTTATTATATTTGCACGTTTTTGAACCTAGATGGACAATTATGAAAGTATTGCTCTGGTACAATTTACAAAGCTATTTATGATTCAAAGATCTATTCAATTTTTGTCCTTTTCATTTTTTTTTGTACTTTTCTTTTCTTTTTCGTTTTTTTGTTAATTAAACGTATTTGATTGAAATAAATTTATATCTAATAAGCCTAATTTATAAAGAAGGAACACATAAGACAATTAATTATAAGATAATTGGATTACACTGTGAATAATATTCATATATGAGGTATAAATGAAAGTTAAAGTATTGTTCGAAAGTTTTTGTTGAAGTAAACCATTGATTCTTGTAATTGCATTTTCACGAAATGACTTCCGCATCTATTTTGTCACCTGCAAAGGTAAGTAAATGAAAATATTTTGAGAAAGAAACGAAGTATTTTAATATAGATAGCCACTGCTTCATCTGTTACGACATTTAGTAAAGTGTTAATGCCAAAAACAGTTAATAAGAATATGAAACTAAAAAATGATTTTATTGATAAAATATTACGAATCAGAAATGAATCGTTAAATAATCCAGTTTTTACATTAGAAAGATATAATCAAACAATAGAATTAATAAATAATGCAAAATTAAAAAGTAGTGCTAGAAGAAATGATCAAGAGATATCATTATTAAAAACGTATGATGTACTTAATCTTAGTAATCAAGATAAATTAGTAAAAAAAATCCAAGGATCTGAAGATACATCAATTAAATATTATGTTCCCATCAATGAAGTTTATGATGTAATTAGAATCGCTCATTTTAATATCGGTCACCGTGGAATTAAGTATACTTTAAAAGAAATTAAAAAAAAATGTGCTAATATTACCGAAAAACAAGTTAAGTTATTTATTTCTGAATGTAATGAATGTAACATAAAACGTGCAAAACCAAAAAACTCATCGAAATTAGTAGTACGTCCAATTATTTCAAATGATTTTCATTCACGTGGTCAAGTTGATTTAATAGACATGCAATCTTCTCCTGATGGTAAATTTAAGTTTATATTAAATTATCAAGATCATTTTACAAAATTTTGTATTTTACGACCACTTAAATCAAAAACCGCAGCAGAAGTCGCGTACAATTTATTAGATATTTTTACTACATTTGGTGCACCTGCAATCTTACAATCAGATAATGGCCGTGAATTCGTTGCAAAAGTTATTGAAGAATTAGCATTAATATGGAAAGATCTTAAAATTGTCCACGGAAAACCTCGTCACCCACAATCGCAAGGATCTGTGGAGAGATCTAATCAAGATACAAAGCAATTATTAGGTATGTCATATCAAAAATAGTTATTTCTAATATCTTGCTTATTGTTTAGGAACATGGATTCGCGAAAACAACTCCACTAAATGGGCCGAAGGCTTGCGCTTTGTACAATTTCAAAAAAATTCATGTTTTCATCGTGTATTAAATAATAGTCCATATGCAGTTTTATTTGGCAATCAACCAAAATTAGGTTTATCATCAACATCTTTACATCCTTCTATTTTCAATGATATAACAACAGAAGAAGAATTAACAAATGAATTAGGTCTATTAACAAATGATGCACTTGATGTGAATTCATCTGCAAGTGATAGTGAAGAAGATGAATTAAAAATTGATGAACCGAATATTAATGATGAATTAAAAGACAATGATCAATTAAATATTACTGAACAAAATGAAAAAAACGATGAATTACTTACCAATAGAGCTAAAAGAACAAATGATATTCGTGAAACTGCGCGACAAGGTCAAAAACGGCAAGCCGATGAATTTTTACGGAATACAGCTAAACGACATAAATTAGCTGATCTAAACGTTGGTGATAATGTTGTAAGTAATATTGATTCGTATATTATTCAATAAATAATAATCTTGTTTTTAGTTGATTCCAGTACCAGATGTTGATCGTGGTCCAACTGATGCGCGTAATGTACTTGCTGTTGTTATGGAAATAAAAGATGACAAATACAAATTAGGAGTAGAACAAGGTATCATTAATGGTTATTATAGTTTTCATCAAATATCAAAGGCAACTGGAACATCAACTATATTAGTTGAAAATGTCGATCAAGGTATTAAAAAATCGTTAAGAGAAGTAGTTAAACTTCAAAGCATTACTGGTGGACAAGGAATGTTAAAATGTTCATGCAAAGGTGGTTGCACAACTAGTAGATGCAAGTGTAAACAAGCTAAAATTTTATGCAATTCTCGATGTCATAATTCGACAACATGTCGTAATAAATAGTTTTAATATATAATTTATTATGTAGGTTTGTTATTTGTGTTGTATTTGTGAATTTCTTGTATATTTTGTGAAAAAAAAATTCAATAGATTTCTTTCTATCTCTATTAAATTAAAAAATAGTTATTAATATTGATATCGAAAAAATTACATTGATTTTTTAATGTTTAATGTTTATCAACTCATTCACAGTAACTTCGACAAAATTTGCTTGTCGAAGTTTAACTTCGGCAAGTTGTATTGCCGAAGTTATAACTTCGGCAAAGATAATCGTCGAAGTTATAACTTCGACAATAGTGTCCGTCGAAGTTGTAACTTCGGCAAAAATTTTGTCGAAGTTATAACTTCGGCAAAGAGTGTAACTTCGGCACGACATATATATCACTCCTCCATTGAGAAGAAAACATATATTTATACATTTATATATATATATATATATATATATATGACGATAGCTGTGGCGGGTGACTAGATAGAAGAAGAAAAAGAATGATATGATAACATTAAGGGCAGGCCCACGACAGTTGCTGATAGACATACAGATGATATTTATCTTTTATGTACTGAACATAATCTGACTTAATTGAACTTATATACAGGATCGATACATCTTGTCTCGAGTTGATACTGAAAAAAGCAGATATTTTTTCTTGTTTTAGTTATTCTCATATATCAGATGATCACTTCCTTGCTACCTGTCATCATCAGATTGCATTTTGTTGAATATTGAAAGATCAAAATCACAATGAAGAATAAGAGCTTAACATGTTGTATTTCATTTGTAAAACTAGATGTCAGAAAACAATTAGAAACAAGAAACATCACATAATTCCTCATTTCCATTTATCTACTCAGAATCTGTTACAGTTTATCAAGGCCATAAAAACTGTCCTTATTTTCGTTTTTCTTTTATTAAGGAACAAGAATAATTCTCTCTCTTTCTTTTTACCAAAAAAATGCTCTAGTATATATATGTGTGTGAGTAGAAGAAAAAGAAGATCAAAGAAGAGAATAGAATGCAGTAGAAGAAGATCAAAGAAGAAAAAAAGAAGGAGAAAGAAAAGAACGTACAGTGAAACATCTATTAATGAACACCTCTCTATAATGAACACCTTCCATTTGAACAGATGTTTCGGAACCCCGATCGATTTTTGCTGTAAATATATCTCTGCAAGATGAACATCTCCCAACTCTGAACATTGAACACTTTTTTCAGTCATTTCTGTAGAAAAACACCTCTCTAAAGTGAACATACACTGACCAATTACACTTTCGTGTATGAAATAAGTAGATGAAAAAATAGATTGCACATAATAAAACAATGATAAATTAAATTTGGACGGTCAATTCGTCATAACAAATTTTGTCGTATGTATGACACAAACAGAACAATGAAAGTGAATAGTCCGCGATGAGCGAATCGATTCTACGTGAGAGAATAACCACAATTACATTCGCTGATTTCTCAATTGGATTCACAGCTTACTCAACTTTTTATCGACTCAAACGGAGTCAAGCAAGCAACCATTAAAGACTTTTTCATAAAAAATGATTAGATGTAAATAAATAGATGACAACTTTGTTCGTTTTTTTGTTTAAAACTGAATAGATGTTTAATAGTTCAAATCAATAAAATAGTCTTTTCCTTTGTTACAAGATAAATAAAGAAGTATATACAGTAGATAAAACCGATTTTTCTAAATTAGGCACTGATCGTAATAGATATTAGTATAAAAGGTGTATATTTATCATTCGTATATACTAACCATGTACTATATAGATATATAGACTTCATTCAACAGGGTACTTCTCTAAGATGAACGCCTCCTTTAATGAACACGTTTTGAACAGTCCCGTCAGTATTCATCTTAGAGAGGTTTCACTGTATATGTATGATAGTAAAGAAAGAAAATACATATATCAACCATGTACTACATCTAACGAACAAGAATATAACTGTTCGCTGACAGAATTGCTCATGAATAATGCGAGACTCTAAATTTATGTTTCCTTAAAGTGCTAATCAAATAGAGTTCAGTATTTTAAGATATGCTTCAACTCATCGTATTAAAGAGAAATTAAATGTTATGCTAGAGATGAAAATAGGCTGCCATCAAGAGCATTAGCTGTTAAAATTAGTGTTTAAAATCAAGCATTAGCTAATTAATACAATAAAGTACTCTCGACAAATTGATGCATGATTATGAAATCATGGAAATACTATAAATATTCTATATACCAGCGGGAATTAAAATTACACCATAAGGTGCGAGATTACTGTAAGAATTTGACTATGAGACATATCTCAATAAGTATAAATTTCTATCAGTAACCCGTGGGTTCAGCTCAATAGAACGAGAAGAATTGAAGTCGACTCAAAAAATTATACTTGCAAGTTTTCAACACGCTGCAAAACATAGTGATAGGTCCAGAAAATAAATAAATATCTATTATAGATAATATACATAGCAACACACTATATACCGATGATGTGTTTCTCTTCCGCAGTATAGCACTACTTACTTCTCAGATATAACTACAACATATTCCAACTCGAATTGCGAAGCATATTTTTATATGCTCTTGTAATTTACTTCTTTGTTTTAAGCAATTCATATGCTTTTTCCAATGCACTAGTATTAGCGGGTAGAGAAAGAGCTTTATGTTCGATTTCTTTTTATTTATTTCAAATCGAAAACAAATATCACATCACATCACATTTTAGGTTCACTACACATATACGCGCGCACACACTACTAAATGATAGAAAAAAAATCGATACATATATTTGTATATTTATGTCGAGGGTTTGGAAAAAATAGAAATATATGGGCAAAATAAAGAATGACCTGAGATAGTTCAGATCAAAGAAAGGAAAGAAAAATATAACAAGAGTTAGCCGCTAACCACTAGGAATCAATCGACAACACTGAAATTCAAATCCAAAGAAAATCAAAAGTCACACGCATACTGGCACCACCATCATCCTTCTTGATGTTGTTTGTTTTGAATTTAATTTCAATGATTTCTTGTTACATGAAATGCATTTATTAAAAAGATGTTTTTTTTTTAATCTTTTCGGCATAAAATCTTTTGGGTTAATTGTTTTAAAATATTATAAAGTGCTTTTCGAAATATGGATCCACCAGCTAATGTATAAATATAGAACGGCATTCCATTTGTTACATAAGTGAGTAGTAGAAATAGATTGAAAATGAAATTGTTGATGCCAATTTGTAATTGTGGTCTTGCCAAATACATCGTACTGTTTGCGTAGATATTTTGGATGACCTGTGGTAATGAGAATAGTGTGAGAAGAACAACTTGAACCAGTAGCATAACAATCAGATGTCGATCAGATTTCTTCCAACGTGGCTGTTGTCCGTTCGTTGTAACTTGTGTCTCGATGGAAATACTCGCAGGTTGTATACGTCGCTTAGCAACCACACGTATATTCAGAATTGTCATAATACCAAAAGACAACATCAGTATTGAAGGAATGATAACGCCAATTGTAGCAAATGTGAAATCGATTAGTAAACGACACCAAATTGTTCGTCCGTAACATTCCAAAGGTGCATTAGTAAGATTAGCTTCATAACAATAGAATATTTGTGTATACGCAAGACTTGATAGAATCACAACAAGAAGTGTGCCCAGCTGAGCATTTTCCAGTTTACTCATATGGCGACGATTGACATCGATACTTGATGAAAACCATCTATCAACTGTAGCCAACATGATTAGCCATGAAGCAATTGTTCTTGAAACAAACAGAACAAAAATACGCAATTTACAAAGCCATGGAACTGTGTTTGTTAGATCGGCAGACCAGCCCGTCAATAAACGAACTGCAACACCCGAAATGAGAGTGATAAGACTTGAAATTGATGATGCAAGAAAAAGCCAAGAACATGGATTTGATCGAAGAGATTTTTGAGATAAAACAAGACAATTCAAAATATTACCAATCGTGCCGAAAAGAAGAATAACAATCGAGAAATAACGATTGATTTGCGCTGAGATTAAGATCAAATTTAGAATGATATCTGTCTTCGATGAGTTTGATGACATATTAGCACCTAATAAATAAGGAAAATAATAAAGTCAGATACTGTGTAGAAAGGAATGTGTAACAATGGTGTGTATATTTTTTTCTTGCTTATTCTGCATCTATCGTCCCTAATAGGCGTTGAGTAGCGTAATTATCTTGTCTTAAAGATGAATTTAACAAATAGGCTGTCTTTGAAGTGGAAACGTAAAGAAAAATTCTATTTTTAATTTACTTAATTGATGAAAGAACTAGAATTGATTAAAATAAATCTATTTTCTATGTTAAGAGATAAAAACCACATCTTCAAAAGCATTTCGTCAGCATCATTCTATGTGAAATATATTTCTTGAACAAAAGGCCTTTTATTTATTTCGTCTTTTCCAACTGATTCGCACTAAAAATATTTCTACACTGAGCCACAGCGATTCATCAACAAAATCAAGTGTAAATATATGAGAAACCTATGAACTCAATTTTTAGTACTAAAAAATTATTATCTAACATTTTTCGGAGTGTTTTAAATGGTTTGCAATCAAATGGCGAAGAACAGCAGAGTATGAATGTGTGGCTTTCTTATCCGCACGAAAATGATAAGATCACGGATTAATTATTCTTAAAGGTTGATAGTACTTTCAAGTAAAAGAGAAGGATAAGCCTTTAAAAATTGAGTGCTTGACTTAATTTACTTAGACTATAGTGAACTCGACAACTGTATTACAAAGTTGAATGATAGAAGATAATGTTGAACTCGAAAGAAGGGACGAGAATGTTGAAGAATAAGAGAGAACTGATTATGTTTAAATTCTGGAAAAATACTAAACATTAATTTATTTGAAAAGAAAAGAAAGACATTGAAAGCATAGATACATCTGGGTGCTTCGGAAATAATACACCGAATTATAGTAAAAGTCAATCTACCTCACGCATTTTAATATAATATCTTCGACAGGATGTATTAAAATTCGAGAAATAGATTACCCCTAGCGAAATATCTTGTAAATAAAATCTTGACCAAGATCTTGTATGTGTTTCATAAGATCTTGTGTCAGATTTTTCGACCTGGGTATACATAGAAATTATTGTTTTAAGATCTTGATAAGATTTTACTTACCAATCCCAAGATTTCCAAATCTTGCTTACAAGATGTTTCATTAGGGATAGTACCATGTAATTATTTTACTATTTAATCATGCGAATACTAGTAAACAGTTAAACCAATGTAAGAAGCATATGAACGATTGTTAAGTTAAATGAGAGTCAATTACGAGTAAAAATATCAATGCACAAAATAGTGACGTAGATATTGGATGTGAAGAAAAACACAAGAAAGCTCTGAGGGAATCAATACTATAATTCGTCTGAATTGACTCATTATGGCTACTATTCAAATTCCTAAGACCCTTGATATATTTATCTAGACATGAAATTCACAAGACAGCTGGGCTAGTTGTACTTAGCAGGATGAGTGTTTCTTTTCTTAACCGAGTGAAAATATTGTTATTATCGACTTTTCCATGTTGATATACCTTGCAATAATTTCAAGTGATATAACTGTATGAGCATCGTTGCTGCTTCAATTTGAAGTATAGTAGTTTCTTCTCTGATCTATAGTCATTAGACAATTTCTATCCTGGTGAAATATCCGAAATAAAAAATCATGAATCTCTACACTGATAGATTATCACATCGTGAACTTTAGTTATATGGAAAAAATCTACCTTTGTATGTCTGCTGAGTACGTTGTTTCTTTCGGCCTTTCATAATCAGAAATATTGTGTTTTAGTTTAGTTATAATTTTTCACCGATGCATAATCAAGAATGCTGATGAATGTACCTGATGTCTCATTGGAAATTCTGAATATATGGACAAAGGAAGCCTCTCTTATAGATTAACAACAGCCACACAAAAACTCTGATAATCATATCTTGATCTTCAGCTATGAAAAAATTAAACGGATCGAATTTCTTTTACATTTACCGAGCTGCTTATCGTGTTTAGAGATTCGATAACTTTAGCTCATCTATTCATTTTAATATCTTAAATTTAATTGCTCAATCAAATAAAGAATTTCTAAAAAACAATGGAACTCGGCGAGTTATGTGAAACTTATGAATCTAACTCAAAACTAAATCAATGAAAAATAAAAACATTTGCTCCTGATGTACTTTCTTTAGTAGGAAATATGACACGTTGTTTTAAACAAAAAGGTATTATTTCAAGCTTATCATAAACATACGTTTTCGAAAGAAAAAAAACAACTTTTAAATTTATTTCTCGTATGATGATATTTTCAGTATCATTCTTAATAAATCAATAATCGAACATCACAAAACAAACGAAAATGGTAGATGATTCTGTAGCTGATGGATAAGGTCAGTGTATTTCCAGAACCTATTCTCCCTATTAGACGGATTATGTTGACATCAAACCTCTGATGTATGAATTTCACGCCTTTCGTTAGCAGGTAAACGTAAAATTTTGTGTCTTTAGATTGTAATTGGCAGTGGTGAATACTGTTTACCTAAACGGAAACGACTTAAGGAGACACGCTAATTATGATTACGAAAAAAAGAGAACATTAAGCAAATGAACTGCGTGGTTTCTTTGGAATGAGAATTTTCCGTGAGTTTTACATTTGAAATTACTGTAATTACAGGTGACTGATCGAATCACATACGATGTGCAATAAAGAATGACTCTTTTTGTAAATGCACGATATTTCCTTTATTTTCTGTCATCGACACTTGATTCCTTATTCGATTCGCTACAAAACCTTGTAATAAATTTTGTGATAGAGTTTCATGCAAAAGAATCATATGGGAACGATTGCACTGTAAAAAAATCTGCAGAATAATAAACGGAAAAAAACGTTTTTGATACGGTATGTAACAAAAAAAAGGGTTTATCAAAGTGCAACGTATAATAAACCCTTTTTTCCGTATATGACGAAGATAATAAACGATTTTTAGGTTTATGATTTGGAAAAAGGTTTATCAGATATTTCAAAAACAGAAAAAATGGTATGCATCACGTGGCACTTTCATAAGCCCCTTTTTTACAGTGTGGATTAAACGAAAAATGTGAATATGACATTTTGTAGTCGTTGGAAAGTTTCATCTTTTGCTAATATCTGGAGTTACTTGAATAATATGGAAAAACGAACAAGAACTCTGTTCTCAAGCGTCATGAATTTTCTTGCAAAAACATTCTTAGAGTTTATGCTTTGAAATCAAAAACTTACTTGGTACTGTATGTTCTGCGCTTTATTTGAAAGAAAAGATTATTCGATTTGCCATAAGAAGTCAAATGAGAGTATATTTTAATTACTTAACCTGGTATAGGTGGGAAAATCCGACTTCAGAATGTAGGTTACAAGAAATATCATCTTTTTACATTAAGATATTACTTGAGAAAGTCATTATGATCGTAGAAAAAAAGAGCGTAATTGGAAAACTTGTTTCTGTCGAATTAGATATCTGTTAGAGAAGAACAGGCGGTAATTTACTCGTTAAAAAGAAAGATGCTATTGAAAACTGTAGTACTTTTGTGTCTTAAAATCTTCTTCAATGAATTCTTCAGTGTAACCTTTGATGATAACACCTCCTATCACATTTTCTAGAGCATTGAATAAGAAATATTTTACAGAAAAAAAAGATGAAGTTCTGATGACAGAAAATATCGCCTACATACAAACGGTGTCATTCTTTACGGCCAGCTCATTATTTGAGAATGTAGCAGATTGATGTCATGAGTGAAATTAATCCATCAAACTGTAGGGCAATCCACCGAAACTATTAACCAGATGAAAATTCTACAACTCATTGATGAAGATTAGAAAAAAAGTAACGACACTCATCGACGATCTTGCCCTATTCTTTCCAGGTTCTTGTTTTTCTTTACTTTCAGACAAGATTCCTGTATTCAGACAAGATTCTTTTCGACAGGAAAGTAAAAAGAATCTTGTCTGGATTTCAA